GTGAGCACTGCATTTGTATTTAGGTATATTGTGAGCCTTAATGCATATCCAGTTCTTGTAGAAACTAGTAGGTTTTATTTAACAGTAACTTAAGAAGAAGGAAAGTGCCTTGGAATAAGATCTTCTACACTAGCACCTTTGGTCTAACATGAATGGTGCGACAATGACTTCATACGTTGGTGCTTTCAGCTCTTCTCAAAGATTAAAGTTTTTACAACTCAACGAGCTGATACCCGGAAATAGATCTTGTCTGTGTGTTTCAATACTGTGATATTAGTCATATTATATTTAATTTAAACAAAACAGGGAAAAAGAAACTGAATACATGACCATGACCACTGATATATTTGTGTATTTAAAAAGGAATTTGTGTGAAATAGCTATTTGAATTCTCACAAATTTAATAAAGCACAATCGTATGTTGTTCTTGCTGTTGTATGTTGTCAACATTCACGTAATATTCTTTCATATGGTACATGTAAAATGTTTTATATTTGCATATTATGCTGCTTTAATATTAAACTTTTAAAGGGGACCTATTAAGCTTTACCCCCGGGAGTTGGCCAGTCAGATAATAGAGGTAAGCCTTAAAGAGACAGGAGCTAAAAACAGCTTCAGAGAGCTGCATAAAGGGTCCGTATAAGATAAATAAGGAGTTTGTTGAACTGTGAATCATGGAGAATAGAAATATACAGCTGGAAATTAGCATAATATGTCCCATTTAATGTTATTTTTGCATAATGTGCTTTGTTTGAAAATGCTTTATGTTAAGATTTTGTGTAACTAATGAGATATTCTGCAGATTAGGGCTGCAAAAAATAATTATTCCCATTAAAATTAGCTTTTTTTTTTTCAATTCTTGTCAAAAATACTGAAAAATCTCCATCACATGTTACAACAAAGCCAAAATGTTACAATTACAATCATTTAAAAAAGCGAATTTGAGAAGCTGGAAGAAACAAATGTTTGTTTTTTTCTTGCTAAAATGCCTTAATTAAATGTGTTAATTAACCAACTAATAAACCTGTTTCAGCACTACAACACAGAGGCTACATTAATAAAAAATAAAATAAAAGAACATTTAACAACAGGCCATTTATTGTGAGATAGTCGGTATTAAACCATTTAGCCCTAGTCATTCCAATACATACGTTTCCCGCAGGAAATGGCTTGTCTCAATGACAAATATCTTAACAATCAAGCAACTAATGTTACTCTACTGTAACACTGAGTACTGGTGTGTGGCTCCAGGTCAGGATGCAGCCTCGTTTACAGTCATGCCTGCCCCGGGCTACCGTGTAGCCCCAGTCCTGTCTGGCTCTAAGAGTAGCAGCGTGGTTTTGTTGTCAAGTAAGTCAGTGGTTCCTCAAGGAGTCCCCTCACTGGAGTCAAGCCCAAAGGACTCGGATGTTGCTGTGCGGTCGTGCGTCTACTCCCGAAGTTCACTCGTCGCTGATGGCGGGAAGCTGCTTCTCTATGAATCGTTTAACATCCACCATTTCCTGCACGGATACAAAATAAGACATACATATATATTTATTTAATACAGGACGCAACTGGAGCTCCAGAGTCAACTTGTTCCCACCCATAAACTGACCTCTGGACAGGCGCTGTGAGGTAGACCTCGGTACGACTTGAAGGTGATGTTGGACGGATTGATGAGGCTTTTCATCTTCTCTGCTGTCTGGGTGCCAAACATAAAGGGGACCAGGGGGTCCGAATCCCCGTGGCATTGTAGGACATGCATGTCCTTGTTAGCACTGTTGGCGGAGGCCTGAGAATAGAAGAGATTAGGATTATTTTTATTATCTGATTATGACAGATTATGTCTTGGCTATGGGATATTCCGAAACCATAATTCAATTAAAAGAATAGTTAACAATAAAGTGAACATTAGGGGGGCCGCAGTTTTGAGGAATTACAAGATGGAACATTTAAATTTCAGATAAAATTATGAATCCGAGCTTTCAGCTGAACAATTCCTTTAAATGTACGTTTTAGTATTTACTGAACTTCTTCATTAGTGAATTTAATTTGCAATTTGTGTCGTGTTTTATTTATTTTTTACCTGAGGGAAGGACTTGCGGAGAGGGAGCCAGCAGCTGAGAGCGACCACACCAGCTATCTTCTGCTGGGTTGTCAAAGCCGTGTAGAGAGACAGTGCTCCACCCTGGAAAACACAAACAAACACATTTTGTACAAAAATACTCATCAAATATCTCCTGTGCCTATTATTAACGGACAAAAGGGCCTAAAAAAGAATCAGCATCCAAAGAATGGAGGTAATTTCAGGTTCCTATTGCATGAAAACAAACACATTTACTTATTCTTTTGTGATTTAACTCATTTGAAAAGTGTCCATCTGTTATTAAATGCTCACATCTTCTGGTGTGTGTGTGTGTGTGTGTGTGTGTGTGTGTGTGTGGGGGGGTGTGTCGCTGCTCAAACTGCACAGAGTGATAGTGACAGCTGATCCGTTGAATCACAGATTGATAGTGAAATTAGTAGTGTGGGGGGGGGGACTATTTCTTGGCCACGCACAGCAAACTTCCTAGAGTCTCTGCTGGTTGCCTGGCAACCGCTTTAGAGCCAAGAAACAGTCCTGCACATAAACCAGCGTAGAAACTGGTGAAATGGTGAATTGGTCGGCCTTTTTACACTTTGTGCGAATCACACAAACGAGATATAACACGTTAATAGTCGGCCTAAGAGGTGCCAGTGGACGAGAGCCAGGCTAGTTGTAGCTTGCTGGTTTTGCTTGAATGTGACACACCATTTCTGCCCAGTTCCCCTCATTAGATTGTGTTATATTCATGTGCTGTACGTTAAATAACTTAAGTGGGTTGTGGACATTCCTTCAACTATTATAAACAGTCACACTCACAGTTATTTATCAGTATTAACAACTGTAATCTCTTCAGATTTTGTGTTTCTTCTTTACAATTACCCATTTTCTTCTACGAATACTAGGGTAAACGTGTTTTTTGGAGCATTTAATTACCAGTCCTGTTTTTGTTTTGTTTTTTAAAATTGTATACATTAATATTTTAGAGCTCTGCCCCTTGAGAAAGCACTTGTGTGTGTGTGTGTGTGTGTGTGTGTGTGTGTGTGTGTATCTGTTGGGTTTGGTTATTCAAATGCATTATGTACACGAGCAGAGAATCACAAGAGAAAACAGTGTTATGTAACACATAATCTGCGTACATGCCACACTGACCTGTGAAAATCCACCCAGGATAATTCTGTGTGAAGGTATCCCATTCTTCACTTCTTGGTCTATCAAGGCTTTAACTGTGGGAAAAAAAAAAGACTTTAAGAAGCTCTTTAAGCAACAAACAAAGAGGCAGCAGATTCCTAATGCCACATTTAACAAAGTTAAAATGAATTATATATATACATATACAGACATACTGTTCTCTGAAGCTCTTTTAATTCCAGTCTCATCTTCATCTGCATCTGGGCTCAACCCGTAGATATCAAACCTAATACACAAGAGAAAATAACACTCATTATGCATGCAACAACCACCTTGTTTATTAATATATATATATGTTCAAATACTGTGACACTTACCAAGAAGGCATGGACATCCTCATGTTCAAGGAAACAGGCATGGTGGGACTGTAATAATGCACAAAACATATAAATGTTGATTTTACACCCTTTCAAATTATAATGGACGATGAAAAACTATATAAGCACTATAAATGAGGTGTTTTCAGACTTTTTTAAAAGACTTTCCCAACACTTGCAGACATCCCCTGTTATAATATTATATCTGCTGTGAATGCTTACGCGTGTGGACAGATGTATTTCACATGTGGTAGCCGGATGCCTGCGAAAGCTTCTGCCCATCCATGCCTGTCACATTGGACACAATCAAAACCTGCTTTAAATACAAGTGCATTGATCTCTTAAGAGCTTAGAGAGATTGACTGATACAGTTCTGCATTACCAAACGAGAAATAAAAACACATTTTCTTGACGTACCCCGTATCACCAAGGCCGTGCAGAAATATCACCTGTAAATAAAAACAAGGCAGGTACAGGCTTTTCTTTTAATACATCACATCTGGGTACTTATTGGAGCCTACACCTGCTTTATTTTTTTATTTTATTTATTTATTTATTTTTTTTTGGTCTAACTTTAACTACAAGACGTCAGTGTTGTCAGGTTAACTCACCGCTGCAGTGGCTTTACGGGCAGCAGGCACAATGGCAGGTAAAGGCGCTGACATGTTATTGCCGCACATACAGCGCAGAGGCAAAGATGTGTGAGGACAAGTTCGATACCAGCGCCAATCGGTGTCGATCTTGGTCCCTAAACCAAACCAAAACCGGCTGAAGGACAAGTGTGGACCGCAGTACTGGAGGTGAAGGTGCCTCCGCCGCTCGTACTACCGCTGCTGGTCGTGAATTTCTTTCTGGGAAGTTGAATTTTGTGGAAGAAGATAACACACACCGCCGGGTCACACTAACTTCACTCGTCGGAAGCGGCCGACAACGCTCGGTGGCCCCGCCCCCATGCCGCTCCGCGATTGGCTGGCGTTCGGAGTTCCGTTTGAAATACAAGGCAGCGATTGGTTGGTTGACGTGTCAGTGAGCGCCGCTTTAATCACGGTTAAATCCTCACGCCTCGGCATCTCAGGAAAACAGAGAATTCAGTCATATAACAACACAACTATAACGTTATACCACACATTTTATATGTATGGATTCAATTAAACATTTAATTAAACACCTTTGACACATTTTAAGGGGCAACCGCTTTTTTTTATTTGCCTTAATTACTGATTAAACTTTATATAACTATGTGTAATAGCTTTCCCACCTGTATTATACTCATATCTAATGACAATCACAAAAAAAAACCCGACATAAAAGGCTTCACAGCTCAATATCACACGCAATACCTTTTTTTTTTTTTTATATTTTTTTTTTGACGGTCGTGCTTTTATTTTGAAAACATCGCCGAACTAACAAGAAGCCCTTCCGCTCACCTCGATCACGTGACCCCCCCCTCCGTGTCCTTGCTGTGTTTGACACGTGAGCGGTCAGCCACAGAAAAACATGTCTTTCCCCAAAAAACCTGGAGGTAAAGCCCTGGATGTGTTACAGAGTCTGCCGCGGATCACTTTAGCCAACCTGCGGCCTGAACCCGGAGCCAAACAGCTGGTAGGCTCTTTTAAAACTGTCGTAGCTTTTCTTTTAGCAGCTAACAGAGCTACAGTTACAGGATACAAATGCTAAACCCTGTTTTTTTTTTTTGTTGTTTATTTAATTGTAGGAGAGGAGGAGGGGCAGAGGACAGCATGGGGGCAACAGAAGCGGCCGAGGGCATAAAGGAGAGCGGCAGAGAGGCACCCGGCCTCGGCTGGGGTTTGAGGGGGGTCAGACTCCCTTTTACCTCGCCATTCCGAAATACGGCTACAATGAAGGACACAGGTAAAAGCTGATCACTCCACCTCTCGAAGTGAACCGTAATCTGTAGTCTGTTATGTCGCCTGTCTGGTGAGCGAAGTGTTAAAACAGATTATGGATTACCAAGTTACCATTAAAGTGCTTGCAGAAAGTGACACCCTCTATGGTTTCCTCCTGTTGTCTCTGTCACAACACAGCCAGTGCATTCCTCTCATAGGCATTTAAACTGAGAATGGCCACTTCACTAATATTTGGGTGTTTATCACTACTACATCTGGGGGTCACACTCATATTCATAGCACTTGTAGTAGGAAGGAAGACTCCTAATTGTTCTTTTTCTCATATTAAAGGTCCAGTGTGTAACATTTAGGAATATAATGTTATTAAGAAGTGTTTTTATTAGTGTAAAATCACCTGAAAGTCACAAATCGTTTTTGTTATCGTAGAATGAGCAGGTCACCTTCTGTTGCATGTTAGCCCCAAACCATGGCTTTACATGGGGCTGTTGTGTGCTTTGCAGCCACCGTAGTTTTTCCTTCGCACTTGGAAAGTCAGGGGGGAAGCGAGTGTGTTGCTCTGTGCAACTGCACCACTAGATGCCACTAAATCCTACACACTGGAGCTTTAAGTGACACAGAAGAGCCAAAGGTACATTTCCATACCAGGATGTTCTGCTGCAACATTTCAGTCAGCTGCTCATAAATAAATAAATGAACCAACAACATACAGATATAATAGTGTCTAGGAGTGAGTGTAGTGTCTCTGCTGGTGCTGAACTTTCTACTGCATTTAAAATATGAAAGAAGTTTGTTTATCCTAAAGGAAATTAGTATTTTGTAGTTGTCGTACGGAGGGTTTTTGGTGATCACAGATTCATACTTTAACCAATAACAACAATGTTTGTGTGCTCTTCCTCAGCCGCCGTCCTCAGTACCAGCCTCTGTCGTTGAAACGGCTGCAATACCTGATTGATCTGGGTCGAGTGGACACGACCCAGCCCATAGACCTGACCCAGCTGGTCAATGCCAGAGGAGTGACAGTCCAGCCTCTGAAGAGGGACTTTGGAGTCCAGCTCATTGACGAGGTATCCGCTGCACGATCAAAGCACGTCGTTGATCGTGGACTTTTTCACACCGTGTGTTAGAGAGTTGTTCTCTCATCAACACTCCAGTTACTAGTTTCTGTCAACGCGAAACAACATTAGAGGAAAGATTTGGCTTATATTTAGGTTAAATAGGGAAACAGTGTTATTTTTGTTGAAAATTTGATTTTCTGGAGGCTGAATGTTGTACAATAAAACTTAAATATAATATAAGTGGGTGTTGAAGATAGATAGAGGGACTAGTAATTTTTTTGTGCTCCATGTTTAATGTTAAATGAGGCTTCAGAAATGTATTTACAAATGTGATCAGCTCAAAAAACATACTACTGTGTCCAAAGTGTTACAGCAAACATACATACATATCATCAGTAAAGCTTTCCCATTTGCTTTCTTATTACAATAAACATCCAGGTTATATAACTCCTATGAAACTACAAGGAAAGGACAAATGAATGACAGCAGATTAGGGATTTGGAGAGGGGGAAAAAAACAACTCAATTTAAAGTGTTTTGTTTTAATTCTGTTGCTCTTGTATCATCTTGTGCCAGTAGATGGCACCACATAACAATGTTGTCATACTGTCACAGATCAAGGTGTTGTTTTTTGACCCCTGTTTTTTTTTTCCCCTCCCTGCTCTGCCACAAGTTCACCCTTCATGTGCTTTCTCTGTTCCAGGGTGCAGATATCTTTGCAGCAAAAATCAACATTGAGGTTCAGAGAGCCTCTGAAGGAGCTATAGCTGCTATTGAGAGGAACGGAGGGGTCATCACTACCAGTTTCTATGATCCTATAAGTCTCGGTAACTCATGAATTATCCCCCACATTATAGCATCCATCTTGTGTATTTTAGATCATACTAAGAATATATTCTCTTGTTTTCTTGCAGGGATTCTCATCAAGCCTGTCCCATTCTTCTTGCGTGGGCAGCCTATCCCGAAGCGAATGCTACCAGGGGAGGATATGGTCCTGTATTACCAAGATGCTGAAAAACGGGGTTACTTGGCAAACCTGGAGAAGATCCAGCAGGCCCGGCTAGCCCTGGCACAGAAGTATGGATATATTTTGCCAGACATTTCAAAGGACGAACTGTATCACATGCTCTCCATGAGGAAGGATGTTCGACAGATCTTCTTTGGCCTCTCTCCAGGCTGGGTCGTTAACATGCCGGAGAAGAAGATTTTGAAACCCACTGATGAGAAACTGCTGAAATATTACAGTTCATAGGTGTGAGGCAAAGTAAAATCAATGCTTATGTATGCCAAAAGTACCTCGAAATGTGTGTAAAAAATTAAAAAAAGAAAGGCTTGACATGTTTCCATTTGATATTAAAACTGAATTAAGAATGATTAAACGTTATCTGGACATCTACATTTTTAAATACACTAATCACCAGAAGGAATTTGGTGCTATAAGTTTTACACAATATATTCATGACATAAGTTACAACCACGAGTGTTTCTTTGCTTTTGCTTGAGTGTCTGACGTCTGACGGCCTCGTGTCGGAACACAACTGGCCCGTGCGGCATGATGGAAGGAACGTGAACTGTAACAGGTGAGCGGGAAATAAGGAAAATAAGATAACTCAAAGAATGAAAACAGGAAACAGATGCCTAGTGATGTGTGTTACTTGTGAAATGGGTTGCCTAGGCCCTAGAAGGGGAGTTTGAAATTAGTCATAGGCAGCTGTATCCTGGTATGGACGTTCAAAAGGTCCCTCTCCCTCACCTTCCCCCTCCCCAACCCCTCTTGGAGTACAATCACAGGCAAACACATACATACAACTTTGCCTGGTTGTGCTTTAGAGGTGATGCCACGGAGAAATGTTTACACTTCGATATCCAAGGAAATCCCTGTGATTTAATCTTGACGTACTGTTTATCACCCATCTTTCTAATATCCACACTTTCACTTTAGAGTTTACACATTTCCAGTCTTTCTTTTATATAATGTACAATCTCATTAAGATGTTGAGATATTACAATCAACGCTTTATGGCGATTTACCCGCAGCCCGAACCAGAACGTACTCCTGTAGGTTTTGGTTGGATAATGGCCCCTACTTGTATTTGACCTCTCCATTACGCTCATGTTTATTTTTTGAAGTCAAAATGGCACACTCGCTATAAATAACTTGGTATTTTACGCAGATATTGTCTTAAGGGACGCTGCCATAGAATTTCTGCTGGTATAAAAACACTTTATCAAAGGAAGCATATGTTTGTGTGTGTGTGTGTGTGTGTGTGTGTGGTGTGTGTGTGTAAGACTGCAAGCATTGTGTTCCTATACAAAGTCCCCTCTGCTGGGTTACTTACTGGTAGACAGGTCCCAATTATGCAGGAATAAAAAGAAAAGTGACAAGAAAATAAATGATGCATCAAACTGTGAGTTAAACAGATTTTATAAAGTCAGTTTTTGCATTAAATTAAAGACAAACTGCCTTTTTTTAAAGGTGAATTTCTTACAGTATTTGTAAATTTCATAATTTGTTACCATGGAAGACAAAGGTCACACTTTGATGATTTTGCTTGTGGTTCCCTGAGTGTTTTCCTGAATCTCAAGTATCCAATAAACTACACAAGTAGTGGATACGTACACAGTCGGCCCTGCCAGGAAAACCAGCCCAAATCCTTACAGCATAATACTTTAAATAAATCACGCCACAGGAAAGAAACAGCACAATCATTGTTTATGGCAGAACTACAGTGCTTATCTTCAAAGCAGCAGATCCTTTTGAATTTGTATCAGGTCTCAGACGAGCAAAGGAGAGAATAAGAGTGAGCTCACACAGGCGACTGTGAATGTGTGGCTGCAGAAAAGTTTGCATAAAAGAAAAGCAGAAATCAAATCAAGTATTTAAGAATCATTCACTTTGGCTAAAAAGATTTGTTAGTCTGTTTTTGGGGAAGCATTTTATCTCTGGTTTCTTCTCCAAATAATCTAATGTCTGAGTCTAACCAGTTCACACTATTTAATTAAACCTTCAAGCAGTGAATTGCTGGAGCTGAGCAGGCTGGATTGTTTTGGTTATCTGCTGCCTTGAATGAGCCGTTTAAGACAGACACAGATATCATGGTGTCTCACAGGTCTCAGTCCATCTAATAATTAGGGTTAATTACAGCTAAATACAAGGGCTCTTCCACCTCTGTCTGCTGAGGGGAGACGTGTGGATCTGGTCTTGGATCAAGGTCAGGCTTATACATGGACTGTAAGGGGGGGGGGTTTGGAGTCCAATAACACCCAGAACTATCTGGACAATAAAATCCTTGGGAAGTCCTCAGATAAGACTCTTATCAGTAGCAGAATACAATTCCTAATTTACAAAGAATAAGGCTAGTTTTCTTTTTCTTTTTCAGCGTGAGTGGAGCTTTGCCTCGTTAGTCAGTCTCACTCTGAGCGAGCCTGTCTGATAGACAAATGAAATGAAATACAATTAGAGAGCAGTTTGACGAGAATGTAAAAAGGAGCCAGACGGAGGATTCGATGGGTGTTTTCTCAAATGAATCAAAATTCTGACTAAGGGCACATCGTTAGTCTTTTGTCGGCTGAATGATTATTCAAATTGGATTTTAGAGCTGCGATTAATGATTGTTTTCATTAGATTAACTGATTTGTTTGTCTATAAAATGTCAGAAAATATACATTTTTAAAGGCCCATCAAAAGTCCTTTACACATATTGATAGTAAAAAGTCATTTAAATTACTTTTTTTGTTTTTTTGTTTACTAATGTCATGTTCAAAGACAACAAATATGATGAATTTACAACAATTACAGCAGAGGAAAGCAGTAAATCTTCCCACTGTGAGACACAGTTATTAGTGAATGTTTGACATTTGTGCTTGATAAACGTGATAAATGATTAATCGGCTGTCAAAACCGGTTGCCAGTTTTTCAATCGATCAACTAAAAGATGCCACTCTTGTCCCTTCTCAGTTCTGAGTTCTGGTCATTGCACCACCTGGGCTTGAGCTGTGTTTGAAGTCTGGCTCAACCTTGGGCCCTGTTATCTCCGCTCAGAGGTGGGGGCATCATTGTGTTCTGCTAATGAGGCTACATTAAGCCTGTCTACACCAGGGGGCATGTAATCCTCTCAGCTGGCCTGACGTAAGGCCGGGCAGGGCGCTGTTTACACGGGGAGTGTGGAGGCTAGCACTCAGGACCCCGGGGCCACGAGTCTATGCTGGTTGAATCTGCTCAAACACGTGATTAAGAAGTAGAGGTGGAGAGAGAAGAGGGGGGGGGGGGGACACAGACCACTGCATAGAATGGTGTCTGAGTCTTGACAGAGTATATCTTGATGCTGGCCTGCTGTGCCCATACAATACAACACAATGCAATACAGTCCCTCGCTGCGAAGATCATGGTCACCTGACACAACAGCATTATATCCCCTTCACACCTTCCAGCTATGAAACAATGCAGCTCTTTATGAATGAACCACTGTAAGGAAAGTCGGTGGGTTGGCACTGAAGCGACTGAGGGCAGGTTTGGAATACAGTGCTTCATTATCGAAGGCCTCCTGCTTTACACTCCTGTGGTTTTTCTTCTAGTTTGCCGTTGGATAGACGTCTCCAAGTGAGAAAATCTTGCACTAAACATCCATAAATGTGAGAAAACAAGAGCTCGGAGTTAAAAATCTGCAGTCCGCACCTCGAAAGGGTGAGTTCAGGTGATCCAGCTCCCAGCAAACCATCCTTTTTTATGTATCATATCAGGGTCACGCATAAGTGCTCCAAATTCAGCCGATATTCAACCCCAAACGTCATCCAGAGTGGTCAAGAATCCCACGAGGGCCTTTTTTTTTGTAAATCCTGCTCAGGTCTTCGGTGCTCAGCTCTACCTGTGCCAGTCTGACCATCACTGATCCAAAGTGAAGGAGGAGAGGAGTGTCCCATATATAAGTTCTGTCCAATACAATGGCACATTGTGATCAGAAAGCCACTGAGGACAATCCCTATTGAGAAAAAGCACAGTGCCCATTCAGCTTGTTTGGCTGTGGGACAATGCAATGATACCCTACTGTCACCTCATAGATTAGGATTCATTAATAGAGCTGGAATAAAGGAAAAATAAAATAAATAAATACACATTTAAATGATCCTGGTGGTAAATTAACGCACAGAAAAACCTAATAAAACTTTATAATCCAGATATTAACACTGTCTAATATTTAGCCAGCTCAATTCACAGCTAAGCTCAGCCGAAACTGACGTTATTGTATTCACGCTGCGTCGTTCAAGCTAATTGATTAAATCCATTAGTGCTTCTCACAGCGCAATGGCGCGTGCGTCCCGTTTGACACCGCGGATGTGGATTCAACCTCTAAACCTGACAACATGGGAAGAAGAGGACCCCCCCTGCACACCCCCTCCTCCTCATCCTCCTCCTCTCTCACCCTCCTTTACCAAATACCAACAAAATATACATTAATGTGGATGAATAAATCTCTTTTACCTCTTTAAAACGTGTTTAAAAATGTCTTTGATTGATTTCCTGAGACGTTATCTCTCCAAGCCACATGCCTCTCTATCAGTTTCGACTGATACCAGGTTTTTTTTATTTGCCAAAGGGAGATGAGGAGCACAGTTTAAAAAAAAGAGCATACACCTTAATCAATTCTGTTACTGGATCTGCCAATGTCAGAGTATTGATCCGGCTTTTTGATTAAGATATGAAGCTCCATTTAGGCCTGATTTTGCAGGGTTATAAGTCCAAAAAATGCTCCCAGTGATGAGTTTAAAGTCTTATAAGTGGAGGGTTTTTCCTTGTGTATTAACCCTATCTGGCCCCATACCATAATACACACACACACACACACACACACACACACACACACACACACACACTCACAGTATTTACAGTTTAAAGGCCGGCACAGGTGCAGGTATTCCTCAGCCAGTCCGTGTATTGCAGATGTAAAGTCGCCGCTGGCACCATAATGGCATCTATTGTCTGTGTAATGTTTGTAAGACAGATATTCATTGAAACCACACAGAGGGGAAGCGAGCACCTGTAATGGCATCCTATTATATTAAAGTGGGATCACACGCCTTATAAGAGTTTCTGGAGAGATCATTAATGGCGGATACACAACGTTTAAAATCACTTTATTTTTTATTTATTTAATTTTTTGCAGCTTTTTATGGTTTAATATTTATATAATATGCTTGCTGTGCTTTTTTTTTAATATCACTATAATGTTGCAGTGATCTGTTGGCTTTCATAGCTTTATCTGCTTTATATGTAGGCTGTCTTATGCTTTGTGTCACAATAATAAAGCCATTATTTCCCATTAACACGTGTTTCAATGCTCAGAAATACGTTTATTCTCAACTGCATGGCATTTAATTCAAG